AAGAGAGATCGGGGGGAGAGAGAGGGAGATAGAGAAATGTGAAGGAAGGTCAGGGAAGATGAAACAATATTTTTTTCCTCGAAATAGTTATTACAAGGGTAGTATGGGGATTAAAAAATATTGCAACAACTTTTTTGGACGGAAGGCTAACGGAAGGGGGCCTTTGTCTCACGGTCATAGTACAGGGGGGTCTTTGTTGCAAAACAAAGTATAGAGGGTCTTTGTCACAGATCCCATAGTACAAGGGGGTCTTTGTAATTTACCCTATTTTTTAACCAATTTAACATATTATACATGTAATTTAACATATTATATGGTTTTTAACTTATTATATATTTTTACTTAAGGAAAATTCCCGATTAGTACCTTGTACTTTGGGCCTAGTGCCACTTTAGTCCCCGAACTTTAAAATGCGACAATTTAGTACCCAAACTTTTTAAATGTGACAACCTAGTACCTACCGTTAAATGGCATTTGAAAAAGACACAAATGCCTTTAAAGTGTTATATAATTTTCTTTATCAATCTTCTAAACGTTGACAAAAATTAATAGTCCCAAATCTTTGCCTTTTCCATTCAAGAAAGTTGGGGGTCATGTTTGAGTGGGCATTTTGGTGACCCCAGCTTTCTTGAATAGAAGAGGCAAGGATTTGAAACTGTTAATTTTTTGATAATGTTTGGATGGTTGATAAAGAAAATTAGATGACACTCGAAGGGCATTTGTATCTTTTTCAAATGCCACTTAACGGCTAGTTAACACTAGGTACTGGATTGTCATGTTTTGAAAGTTTGGGTACTGAATTATCTCAATTTAAAGTTCAATGACCAAAGTGACACTAAACCCAAAATACAGGGTATTAATCAGGAATTTGCCCTTTTGCTTATTATATATTTTTTAAGTATGTATAATTTCTATGTGGTAAATGACAATTATAAGCTCTTTTTCTGCTTTCCAATAGCGAAACAGTATTGGATAGAAAAGCGCTTATTTTGAACTTAAAGCAGTTGCAAATAGACCTGTTCATGGGCCGGGTGGCCTGACTCCCGGACGGGCTTGAACAGGATTTTTGGCCCGCGGGCTTAACCTCGGGCCAAAAAGCCCGGCCTGCATAAAATTCGAGCCGGGCTCGAGCTTTGCTAAAATAGCCCGGCCCGAGCCCGGCCCGGCCCGATTTATAGTTAAACTTAAGTAAATCCGGCCCGACCTATAGTTAAACCTAAGTAAAAACCCTATGTGATGTCTATTTGAATAAATTTTTTGATTTGAGGTCATTGATTCACTTGTAGATCCATTGTTCATTTAAATGGGGGAAAAACATTTAAATTAAAATAGAAAATGTCAGAAAATTTTGAATTTCTTTTATTAGATTGGGCTTCGGGCTCGGGCTCGGGCCTAACAGTTTTCTGTTAATAAAGAGTCAAAGCCCGGCCCGGCCCGGCCCATGAACAGGTCTAGTTGCAAAGAGCAATCTCCAAAACACTTAAAAGCACTTTTTCAAAAGCTGCTTCTCTGGAAGTTCATTTAGTAGAAAAGGCACTCCCAAATGCAGCCCTGCATCGACGTTTAATAGACCGCTATTATGATTTGCTTTCAATTCTGCTTGCTGCTTCACTAAAACCCTATTGCATGCAGACACTGAAGGAATAATTAGCCATTTAGCCCTGCCTGAGGTACCTCATTGTTTCAAATGTTGCTTTTGCAATTGAACTGAACAAGATATCTTTATTTCTATCTGAAGCATTGGCTGTTTACGCTGGTTTCTGATCAAAATGCCGTCTTTTCCTCCTGCGGGATCGGTCACGGTCTGCGAAATCAATCGGGATTTGGGTAAGAACTAAGAACCTCTAAGATTAACTGTAAGAAATTATAGGGATTTGATGTACTGAAATTGTGTGTTCTCTACAGTCACTGCCGAAAGTCTCTCGGATGATCAAGCTAAGGAGACATATGGAAAAGTTCTTGTAAGTTCTGTTGAAAGTCGACATTGTTTTGTTTAGCTTTAGCTTTGCTTGTTATTCATTTTTGTTGAATTTGCAATTGGCTGTGCAGGGAATTGTTTTCAGTCCTGTTCCCTTTCAGTCGGATTTTCTATTGCCTACTCCCGAGCAGGGTTTTGAACAGCAAGGAAATGAGGACATTGTGCCGAAAAGGGACTCGAATGTGCTTCGGGTGATACTGAATGGTTCATTCAAACGTTTTTTGCCTCCCAGTAATGTACGCTCTTTTCATGTAATGTATTAAGTCACTGAATTGTGACTATGTTTTCGTTAATTGAGAGAACAGTTATTAGCCTTGTAGTTCATTTATCTATTTTTTCTCTGTGTTTTTTTAAACTGTTTTCTACATGGTTGGTTTGTTTGCAAATAACTTTGAAGTATGACGTTTGTTTCTCTGAGGAATTCTTAATTCTTAGATAATGAACACCATTGGGGAATGAAACTGGTTGAATTTAGTGTGAAGTTTACACATTGTAAGCTCTTAAATCATACAGGTATTGGGTAATTTCATATTGTTAGACGAGTTATTTATTGATATAAATAAATGGAAGATCTGTCATTATGACAGTGTTGTGTGGTAAATAATTAGAACTAATCTACTTCATTAAAAATGATATTACCACTATTTGCGTCACTAAATGTTGATTCTTGGAAAATTGCTAGGAAAAAGTCATTTAAAACCTTAAAATACCTAGGAAACAAGGTGATTCAGTAAGAGCATAATTTTTAGCAGTTTTTGGGGTTGAGAAAGCTAAGGAGACGGGAGTGGGTAGTTTGATCATTGAAGGTGATTCAGAGATAACAGTGGGATGGTTTGGCAGCTCAGAAATGAGTTAGGGCACTTCAAATGGCTGTCTAGAGACATGAATGTTCAAATAACAAATAGGATGGGTTAGAAAACCTGCTAAGAGCTTGGCAGATGGTTTAGCTAAGCAGGGGGTTCAGAGACAAGATATGTACTGGGCACAATTGTAATACAGTATTGGGTGGCTGGATCTGTAATGGGTTTGCTAGTTTCTCACAACTTCTTGTTGTAATCCCTATCTTCTATTTATTAATGGATGAATGGTTTCCTGTGTTGTTGATCAAATATATATATATGCTTAAATTGACAGTGTAAGAGATAATTTATGTTTCATGGTTCTAATGAATGGCCAACTGACTAGTTTTTTCAAGAGATCTAAAGGTTTAAGACAGGGGGGGTCCTCTCTTATCCCTCCTTTTCATCTGTGTCATGGACATCCTAACCATTTTTGTTCAGAAAGCATTGGAGGAGGTTATTTTGAAAGTTTTAAAATTGTAGAAAATGGGGGAAGGGTGCAAATCCTCCAGCTGACAACACTCCCCTCTTCTTGCATGCTTCAAGCCATCAGCTTATCAATTTGCTTGGTATTGTTTGTTGGTTTGAAACTGTAACAGGCTTAAGAATGAATCTTAGCAAGAGTTAGATTGTCTTTGTTGGCCTGGTGGATGACTTGGCCTTAGTTCTGGTATGCATTGTGATTTGATTATCTTCTGATTACCTACCTGTGGTTGCCCCTAGGTGTTAAGATCTGTTCCTCTATAATCTGGAATCCTGTTGTGGAAAAGAGTTGAAAAGAAGTTGTTAAGATGGAAGGCTAAGTATCTCTCCAAAGGGGGATCCAGAGTGCCTTAGCTAGCCAATCTACCTACCTATTTTATGTCCTTATTCCGCAACCCAACTAGGGTTGCAAAGAAAATTGGGAAGCTCCAAAGGGACTTCCTATGGAAGGGATGACAGGATGAGGAAAAAAGATTCATGTGGTGGGCTGGGGTCAAGTCTACAAGAGAGTATCAAGGAGGTCTGGGTGTCAGAAGCTTGCCAAAATTTAACATAGTATTGCTAGGTAAATGGGTTTGGAGGTTTGGGGGGGGGGGAGAGATAGCTAGTGGAGGGGTCTAATTGCTTCATAGTATGGCCTAGAGTGAGGGAATTGGATAAAAAATGGTGTTAAAGTTTTTTTTGGAAGCTCTCTGTGGAAGGGGATCTTGAGGTCTAAGGAGGCTTTCTTAAAAGGTATAATGTATAAGGTTGCTAATGGAGTAAGGCTGAATTTTTAGTTGGACCATTGGTATGGCTCAGTGCTTCTAGTATTGGTCCTACCCAACCTTTACTAGCTAGTTGTGAACAAGGAGTTGACCGTGGCCCAAGCCTATCAAAGTATTGCTAGAAAAATTGTGTGGGTCCCCCAATTCTGTAGAAGCTTTTTTGACTGGGTTGGGATCTTTTGTCTTCCCACCCTATTCATCTTAGTGTCCTCCCATTTAGGGAGTGATATCTGTTCAATCATATGAACCCCCTCTTTAACACGTGAGCAAGACACAAGTAGTTAACAATCTTTGTTTTCTTTTATTTTATGTTAAAAATAAATAAAGAATCTGTCTTTTTCTCTGTGTTGCCAATGACCGTGCTACAGGGAGATTTTGAGATTGTTTTCCCACTATTGGGATATTCGACGTCAGTGACAGAGCTGGAGAGACAAAAAATGGTTTGCAGGTACTCAACGGTTTGCCACATAGAGAGCTTTTGAGATTGTTTCCCCACTATTGGGACATTCAATGTCACTGATAGAGCCAAAGAGGCGAAAAATGGGTTGCAAGTACTCAATGGTTTGCCACATAGATTTAGATGTCCAGAGAAATGATGCCAGGAATTTTGCTAAAGTTTTAGGGGTGGAGCCATTAAGATTGTTATTAGACACATTGAACTCCACCAAATTGAAGGGATTAATGTTGGGGAGGCTATCGGCAAACCCATTGTTCTCTTGGAACAATCTAGAAAAGTTGGTGTGGTTGTTAATAGAAAATGGTATCTTCTTAGTGAAATTATTAAATGAGAGGTCTGTTGAAGATTAATCAGTTTTATGTTGTTTTTCTGAGTAGATGTTTTATGTTGTTAGATAGGAAGTGGGCACTACAGTAGTTATGTGAGTCCAAATTTTATTATGTTTTTGAGTCTTATATATGYTKTTTTATGTTTTDCYGCCCTATAARGGCATAGTTGTCTTTGTACTGCTCTATTATTTTTAGTATAAATAATAAGTGAAGGGGGCGACTAGATTATTGCTCTCTTTTCTTTTCAAGTTCTCTTCTTCTCCTACTCTCTTCAAGAAACTACCTTTTCTATTCATATTTTTGAATTCAGCAGATTTCTACTTGGTATCAGAGCATCGGCTAGGGTTTCTTGAAGCATTTTTATGCAGCCCTAGATCAGTCGATTGCATGAAGTAATAAAGGGCTGATCGATCTGCTATAGATTGCCCAGTTCTTGGATTTTTTGGTGGGATCTAGTCATTAGGAAGGTGATCTACTGTTTGACATCAAAATCAGGAAGAATTGGAGTACAGAGAAGAGTCCCAAAAAAGTTGGACTCTTTGTTTTTGATCTGATCTAGGGCGCCCAGGTATTGTTAGTTTTCTTTTGATTTTCTGAAGAGGGCGGTTAAGTTTTTGGAATTATTTGAGCCTTTTGGAGTGATCGATTCACTTTTCTCTCTGTTGGGAGGTGTGGGGAGGAGAGAGATTTCTCTCTGTATAGGTTTTTCTTCTTCCAGAAGGGTTGGTTTCTGTGTGTGTAATATTAAATTGTTTTTGGAAGGTCTCCAATCTAATTTTTCTTACCGTTGAATTATTTGAAGTAAGATGGAGAGTTGGAATACCGAGATGAAATCCACCGGTACTGTGAGACTGGGTGTTGGAGGTAGTACTAATATTTTTGGGTTTGGGATCATTACTACAGTAAAACTTGATGGTACAAATTATTTGGAGTGGGCACAATCAGCTAAGATGGCTATTGGTGCCCGTGGAAAATTAGGGTACACCACTAGGGAGGAGAAGAAACTTGATACGGACTCTTCTCGATGGGTGCAGGAGAATTACATGGTAATGTCCTGACTGTGTAATTCTATGTTACCTTATATTGCAAAAATTTCCTATGGGCTAATACTGCTAAGGAGATTTGGGATGGAGTGATTGAAACCTACTCTTAGAAGCAAAATGAAGCCAGGGCCTATTAGTTAAGGAATCATGTGATAAATATGAAACAGGGAGAAAAATCCCTTGCTGTGTATTTCTCCATGCTAAAAACCCTTTGGCAAGAAATAGGTTACTTAGAAACTGTGGTATGGGAAAGTGTAAATGATGCAGCAACTTATCACAAACTGGTAGAGAGGAATAGGGTTTTTGAGTTATTGGCAGGGCTGAACCCTGAATTTGACATTGCTAGGCAGCATATTCTTTCTAGGGAGGGTGTGACACTCTCTCAAGCCTATGCCTTTGTCTTTGGAGAGGAGAGTAGGAGGAATGTAATGCTGAGACAGCCTGTGATTGACTAGTTGGCTATGGTTAGTACATCCAAACCTAAGTCGAATGAAGACAGGGGGAGTAGTGAGACTAGAAGGGAAGATAAGAAGGACTTGGTGTGTGATTATTGYAASAAGCYTAAGMATACCAGGGACACTTGTTGGAAGCTTCATCCAAATCTTATGCTTGCCCGGATAAGGAACAAGAAGGGAAATGCAAATGTGGCCACTACAAGAGACTCTTCGACCCCTCTTTCCCAAACTGATTGGGAATCCATTGTAGTAGCAGCAGTGAGAACAGAATTGGAGAGGTTTGGACAGCTTATGAGTAAGAAAGATTCACCTAGCTCTGGCCTTCCAGATGGACAACAGAATGTAGGAGCCAACTACACTACTTCTTTTGCACATATATGTAGTTCATATGCAACTGCAAATCTTGCATCTACTTCAGGTAAGGAGGGATCTCCCTGGATTATAGACTCAAGAGCATCTGAGCATATGACTAATGCCCCTACCCTTTTCAGTTCCTATCAGTTGTGCTCTGGTAGAGACAGAGTCTCTATAGCAGATGGTTCACATATTCCCATTGCTGGGAAGGGGAACTTACAATCCGTTCCTCTTCTTGTTTCTTTGGTGCCTCTATCAGTTCTATCATCAATTCAGTCAGCACCTGAGCCACTACGGGTAGCCTCACAGAAATATCAGTGTCGACAGACGATGGTTAACTCCACACATCCTCAACCCACACCACTCTCTATCAGTCCTTTTGAAACTTCGGATTCAACAGATACAGTTCCAGGTATTCCTCTTGAGCCTGAGCCTGTTATGTTTTCTAATGATAATGTTTTGTACCTAATACCATTGTTGCAGCTAATCCCACTAATCTTGATCTTCCCATTGCACTTCGTAAA